CCTTTCCTATTCGGTGCAGGTCGGCAGCTTGTCTTCTTCAAGATGGCCTCAAATCATATCATGCCTGATCCTGACAAGATAACATATGTGAAGGTGACAGACTGACACCTAAAGTGGCTCAGTCTGATGCATGAGTGACAAGAGCTGTTTGTGTATAAATATAGGCAGCTGTTAGGTATAAGGCGGCTGTGGCCGGAGAGATAATTGCACTATTACTCATTCTAATCTATAGAGTGCTAAACAAAACTTTAAAGAAATAACCTGCATGACCAGGATGAATGTGCAATAAAACAACCTTTTGAAAATGTGATTTTTTTTAAAAACAAAGCAAAATACAAGATATGATACACTGTTAGGGTATAATTTTGGTTATAAATCAGCTGGCAGCTCTGGCTTTTCTAACCAAGGTTAGCATAATGTTTTTGACCTGTGCATGTGTGCACAGGGATGAAAGTTGATCATTTCTATGGGAAGTCTGTATCCTCCATGCTGATATTTATTTGGGCACGTACAATCACAACAGAGTAACTGAAGCATATCAGTTTGTAAGCTGAATAGCAAACGTTTCTGAAGACAATCAGCATTTGTGTTAAAGCTATGAAATATGCAATGCCGGCTTATTTGTCAAAAGGAAGGAATTGGTTATGTTTAGAATTGCAAGACTGTAGCTAATTTTCATTTTTGCTTCCAATGTTATCATAAAGTTTCATTTTTAATTTAAAAGAGCCATTTTGTAGGTCTAGCAAATCACATAAGCATATGAATAGTCCCGCTGAAAGGGTAGGGACTTACCCAAGTGCCAAATGCTTTGCTGAATAGGGATAGGCCTAAGCATATGCTTACAATTAAGCCTGTGCTTAAGACTTTTGTTGAATTGAGTTTGAATTGTTCAGGAAGCCACATCTTTGACAGACTGGCAAAGCAATCCAGCTGGTGGAACAGTACTAATTTAATGACTATCTTGCAGCTATTTGTATTTTTTATCATCAAATCCTTGGTTTTCTAAGGCACCGCTTGCTAATTCTTAGAGTGAATGAAGTAAATGACCTTAATAATGGCAAATGAATGCTAGCCTTAATTCTATATAAAACACGTTTTACAGGCATGGTGTGTCTAGAAAATTTGCTTTCAGTGAAAGCAATAAAGTAAGTGCTAAAGTGACCAATGTCATACTGTTTTGTAGTTTGTACAGTCAGGAAAAAAAATGTGCTTTTGTTTCTCAAATTGTTTATTTTTGTAAAAAAAAAATAAAAGATAAGTACAATTCCTTTCATACTCGTTTTTTTTTGTGTTGCAAATAAATGCCTACATCCAGGGAAGACTTAGACATAATGTATTTTATGTAAACTTAAGCCTGGGATATTTTTTCCAGGAAGGAACTGAGGTTGTTCCAGTGGCTCCCAGTAAGGGGTGTGTTTCTTGGGGTACACAGTGGCTTTGTCTGCGTGGTTGTCTGTCACAAAGCAAGTGACCGTTAGAAGACAAGGCTTGAGCAGCCTTTCTTTCTCTGTAGTTTGAGTCACATCGGTACCAGTCTTTTAACATTGGGAAGGGATGAGGATGAGAGCAGAACCTGAGGGAATTACTCATTGGGTTAAATGGTGGGTTTTCTTGCCGGGCTTTGCTAAGGAGGGTCCGAGAAGGAGAGCAGGAGAGCCAGGAAGCTGGGCAGAAGTGCCTGTAGCCTGTGTGACTATGCAGGAGAGATGGTGACACCGCCGGCAGTGGGTCTCGTCTCAACGCAGTTTCTCCGAGGTCACCGATACCCTCACGGCTTCTGGCAATTGACTGAAATGACATGCTGTAACGGCTGTAACTCACAAATTATCAAACTCCCAGCTGTAATAGCTCAGCTGATTGTGTCGCCGTGCACTTAGGAACCCATCAATCATGCTGTGGTAATAAACAAACACTACAGATTCTTTTAAAATTGCTACATAAATCATGCCAACACATACTGCACAGTTCATTGAAGTGATATGGGTTGTTGGCACTGAGGTGCTGGTATGTATTTTGAAAGTCTTTAACCTCCCATGATTGTCTTACCATTAAGCACTGTACACCACTTGAAAAATACTCAGCATTTAAAAAAAATGTGAACAGTTAAATTCTTTAGCTGCTTTCCTAGGTGAAAAATATCAACATTTAAAAGAAAAAAAAAAAGATATCCAGGGTAACTCTTTAATGTTGTAGGCAGGTAACGTAGGATAATTTCATTCTATCACTTTCTGCACACCAGAAAAAAAATGCCTCTTAAGTCAAGAATTGTTTATCCCTGGAATTGCCAAACCAATTTACATTGGCTTTTGCAAACAGAGATCAAGTAAGCAAGAAAGAAATGTAGCCATGAGCCAAGAAGCTGGATTCTAAATTTCAGCGGTAATCAACTTTATACAGGCAGTTTTATAACTCTTTGAGAGTAAGGCTTTCCAATGGAAATGCTGATTAAAATCTTAATAAGAGAGGCGTGATACTACAATAAGTGAATTTAATAGCTGTAATAAGCACTGGCAAAAGTCTGAATTTATGGGGAGAAAGCGTCTTTGGCAGCAGTGGGTCTGATTCAGCAAAGTGCCTGCCTGGCGCTTGTGGCATGGAAACCCCTGAGAAGCCACAGAGGAGGAGGAGGAGGAAGAGGAAGCAAGGCACAAAGTGAGCTGGCAGGTCTGGGCCAGTCAGCCTGGGAGCTACTCCACGTTTTCTGTGGAAAAGACATTTCTATCTGGTTTTTTTCGCCCTAACATTTTGACTGCTTTTTACATTTCCTGGCTTCCTCAAGCCACAAGGTAGAAATGTGAAAGAAGACACCCACAGGGCTTTAAACGACTGACGTCTGCGTGTGCCGCATGCACGTGTGTGTATGTGTATACGTATTTATGTATGTGTCACGCTGAACAGGGAGAGCTTATTTCCTCAGTGAAAAACCAATTGGCTGTGCACAAAATGAAGTGCTAAACAGGATGTTGAGTTCATCTGGAGAAGTGAGAGCTGCGTGAAGCAGTGGGTGCTGCAGGTCTGCAAGGGGCTGTGCTGAGTGTTCAAGTCCCGTCCAGCACTGCGATGCCCCAGCCAGGCTGCAGCTCAGAGTGCCTCCAAGAGCTGCCCTCCATCTCCACGATGGTTTGGTGAAGGGGTGACACCAGCCCCACCACTGGGAACAGACTCCCAATTAAACGGGCACTACTCGGCGTCACTTCTGGCCCAACATCCCGAGGGATGTAGTGGAGACATGCTGAGAGCTTTGGTCTTTGCTTAGACCAAAATAGAAATGTGTTCTTCTATTTTTCTGTATCTTGTCTGAGCTTACTGTTTTCTCTCCGGTCATTTTTCAAAGCTTTCTCCCCAACTTCAAAGCATCTTTTTAAGTGGAAAGCTGAGGTCTCACATATTCAGCTCCGGAAACAGGTTGTTACAACTCACATCACATCTAAGAGAAACCTGTGGTGAAATTAGTGGTATCACCATGAGCATTCATCACCCTGAGAGAAAGCCTGAACAGAAGTGGGCCCTGTTGCCAGCTGAGGAGCTCGGGTAAGTTTCTATAGAGAGTGAAGGGGGTTGGATGGGCAGTGAGACACTGGTGAAGAATCTGGGATGTTCTTCCAACATGAGATAAAGGAGTTTGGTGTAAGTACTATTCCTAACGTGTTTTGCCCTGCCTCTCCCTGCTTCACTGAGGCATTTTGCTTAGTACTTCTGCCAGCCATGACCACCAAGTTTCCTGTAAGATTTTGAGAAGGATGGCAGAGCAGGGTGCAGGGAGGACACCAGCTTGGAGTGAACTCAGGTCTTCCTATTGCCAGTTACTGTATGTGGTGTGGTAACTGGTGGGGACCACTGTCCTGGAGCAGCACCTGACCATGGTAGGTCCACAGATAAGACCTTGTACCTGCCTCTGAAGTTCACCTCATCAACTTGTACCACACTTCATGATAAGTCAATGCAGCCTTGTGCTCATACCAGGTGAGCAAAGGAGTAGACTTAGTGACTAATCAGTCAGCCCCAGACAAGCATCCTGAAAAACGTGGCTACCCGCATGGGCTCTCTCTGCTATGGTTATGGAGAGCAGAGCCCCAGCAGCTCCCAGTGGGACTGTCCTGCACTGTTCCTCTCCCACAGCCTGCTGTAACCTGGGGACATGTGGGAGGCATGTGTTACAAGGAGAATTGCAGAGAGGCAAAATACATACTGGTACTCCGCTTCTACTGGTGGATGTGGGGTGCTGACCCTATTAATGTTTATAAGGCCCCACACCTTCATGCACTGTTGCTATTTAGAGAAAAAAAGACACTCTTGTTGATAATAATTTAGATTAAGCAAATGATTTAGAGGACTTGTAATTCAAAGCATATGGGAGGTGATAGCGAACATCCAGATATCATGTTATGTTGCCTGGCAGAAAGAAATATATGAGTAAGGGATGTTCAAACTTTGGTAGAAAGTGCCTTATCTTGTATTCTTTACCACTAAATTCTTTGAAGACTAACTGAAACCTAGTACCAGGAGGGGAAGGGAAAAAAAAAAAAAAAAAAAGAAAAAAGGAAAAATGGAATGGCAAGTTTGTTCACAAGTTTTTCCAGGAAAACATATCCTTAACCTTTTGGTCAAAATGTGAAACACTGTTGAAAGAAGTCAAACAGATTTGGGTTGAAAAGACTCAAGTGAAGTTTTCATCAATTGACTGCATAAAGAAGAAAATGGGGCTCAAAGAAGAGGAGGAAGATTTGTGAAAAGCAGGCAGTATATAAACACCTTACAATCATACTCTGCTTAATGTTTTTTGAGGTGTGATCATTTGATCCTTTTTTTTAAGAAACATTTTTTTTTCCCCCTCTAATTTTAGGCAGGAGCAAGACACGCTGAGCTGACTTGGTCTGACTGCCTCTGAGAGCTCCCCAGGGCACGTAGGGTCCATATCCATCCTTCAGCACAGACATGGACCTTGGCATTTTTAACTCTAATGAGTAAGTAAGTTGCTTGCAAGTAAGTACAAGTGTTTTTTTTCAAGTTGACATGGATGCTTTAAGAGCTGCATTTTAAAAATACGAAGGGAACAAAATGTTGTATTTCTTCCCTTTGTAGTTGCACACAATCAACAATTGCCATTGTGTAATAGGTGCTCCACTTCCCCATGCAAACTGAAGGGAAATATAATTCAGTAGGAGCCACCGTCATTATGGAACTGTCTTTGATGTCAAGCCAGAGGGCAAACAACACATTTATTAGAAATTGTGGCTTGTAAACAAAAAATCCCTGCTAACCACAGTTTTTCAGCAAATGACTATGAGGCTAAGAAGGAAGACTAAACTATCCAGTGGCTACTTGAAATGATAAAGCCAGAGTCTGATCTTACTTAGCTTGATTTTACCAGTGTAATTCAGTTAATCCTTGATTTATGTTCACACAAAACAGAATCAGACTGTTAGATTTTAAAGTAACTGTGGAGTAGGAGCTAAATAAAACCTGCCTCTTGGACCTAAATATTTGGACCATATAAGTAAGGAAAAAACTACTGATTTTCCCATATATACTCATGTGTGTGCGTGCACATGTGTGTAGGTTCCTGTGAGAGTTAAACAATGACAACATAAAGACTTCCCTTACTTTAAGATGGTAGCTTTAACAAGACACAGCAAATGAAAGACACTATTTAATAAATAATCTCAGGAAAGGAATAAGAGTTCTACACATTTACACTCACTATTTAAGAGGTACAATGCCATTCTTACCATACTTGTGCTGACTTCAGGTATGCCCTAAGAACAATTTCCAGTTTTCAATATTACAAGTACCTGGCATGTATGAAGATAATGGTACAAATTGGTATTTACAAATTGCAGCTTTCTATAAATACACTGGAAGGAATGTGGAGCAGCCAGTCAGACAAATAGATGACCAGGGGCACAGTGGCACTTTTAGAAGTGGGTGTGCTTAATGTTTTATACAAGACCTTGGATTTGTGTGAGTTCATGACCTATTGAAAACCTTATATGACTTACTAGCAGGTCTTAACCTCATTCTGGGACACAAGCTGTTGTTCAGTGTGGATGCTACTATTTCTACATGTTTTACCATCCTGGCCTTTAGTCCTAAGAGTGCCAAACCTCAAGCCTCTTTGAAGAATGGAAACACGTCAATTAAATGTCAGGTTTTCATCTGTATATGGCTCTGATTTCTGATTCATTATAGAATTTAGATAAAAGACAGCTCTTAAGCAGAGATAATATTACAGAGGCAAAAAATAATGCCCATTTTGTTGTATAGACAATGAATTTGC